GTGACTCTCAAAGCTTACTTCTTTGACCATTTATTTAAGTTCACGTACGGTACATATTCTTTAAAACTCATTTTTCTACAATTTGATTTTGAATGACACATTCTTAAAAAATAATTTTGTATGTGAACTCGTAACTTTTTCCTTATGTTTAACCATACATTTTTTGAAAACAAAAAAAATACTTTTCACAAATTATATTTTAAAATATTTTACATCAAACATGTCCTAAGTTAAATATGATGAGAGTAAAATAAATATGAAAGTAAAGTACAACTAAAGAAACCTCGAGTGGTTGGCAAAAATAAAATTTTGCGTAATAAATTCTTGGAGAATGTGGAGTTAAAAAGTAGGGAAAAATTTTGGATTTACGTTTAAAATATTTTATTGTGTGAATATGTGCTCGAAAATGAGTATGTTGAATAAAGAGTTTAGAAATAATAGCTGTTAAACAAGGGCTTGTTTTAGTAGTTAAATGATTTACTAAGTCCCTGTTTGATTTAGATTAAAATTCAATTAAAATATCAAGTAAAAGTCAATAATTAATTTTAAATATACATTTTATGAGATCCACAATTTTTCAATCATACATTTAATTAACTTTTATCAAAATTTACTGATTTTAATCTTTACCAAACGGGGCTAAATTTTAGAATTGTTCAATAAAAAATTATTTATTTATAAATAAAACGTTTGAATTCATTAACCAGAGGGCCAACCAAAAAGCTCATAAAAAGTTGACATGTGTATTTCGTAAAACTGGGGTTCAAAAATATCGAGCTTTGAATTAATCAAACTCGTGCCTTTGAAAGCTCTGAATATTTTCCAAGAAAATTAAAAGAAATCTCTGTGTTGAACCACCGTCAAGTCTTCTGTCCACACGTCATATCCGTATTTGAAGCTCCATTTAGTACATAAACAGAGCTCATGCCTCCTATATATAAAGAGGGAAGGTTTTCATCATACTCCATCACGAGCATAATCTAAAGAAATTCGGACGATAAAGGGACGTTAAAACTACTCTTAGGTCTTTCATCTCTGGTGAGTTATCCATGATTATCTTAGTAAAATACTTCCTTTATTTTTTTTATATGAATGAGGTTTCTGTTATTACAATAATAATTCTGATATTTTAATGTTTTATCGTGACATGTTATGATGTCTATTAAAAGATTAATGGGTTTGCAGTTTTCATTTGAATTTTGCTGGGTGATTCCTGATAATGAAAACAAAGATTATTATAAAGCATTTCTTGGTTAAATTATATTCAAGCCTTTTATTTTCATAATTGATTAGGAGTTTCTTTACAAATTGTGCAGGTGGGGGGCCGGCCTTGAAATCTTTTGCTGTTTATTGGGAAGAAATTGGGGGACAGTCTTGTTTTTTTTGGCCGACTTGAAGGAAAGGAGATTCAGCCATTACTATGGCAAAAGGATGCAATAAGTTCAGTAGGAAAAATTCAATAAACTTGAGGAATTTCGAGCCCGGAAAATTAATGCTTGAAACGAAGCTTTCGTTCAAGAATCTAGTTCAAGACATTAGAAAATCAGGATATGATGATGCAAATGAAAAGGCCGATGGTTCTACTTATAAATCAGTCAGTGCGGTTTCTCTCCCGGAACCTGCTATAATGTTTACTCCACGACCTGTTAGTGAGCTTGATGCCGCTGCCATCAAGCTTCAGAAAGTATACAAGAGCTACCGGACTCGAAGAAACCTTGCAGATTGCGCAGTTGTCGTTGAGGAGCTATGGTTTGTCGGCTGACCCCTTTAGTCAATTCACCTAGTTGTCGTTTAATTAATACACTGAAATTAACTTCTCATTTTCAACCAATATAGGTGGAAAGCCTTGGACTTTGCAGCTCTCAAGCGATGCTCTGTGTCATTCTTCAATGATGAGAAACCTGAAACTGCCATTTCACGGTGGGCTAGAGCAAGGACAAGAGCAGCCAAGGTCAATATTCATCATGCATTTTAACTCTTCAATTGAGTTCCGAGTTTCTTTCTTTTTCTTTTTTCGCACTACTTGTTTTTTTGAATTTCTACCGTGATAATAAGGGATTTAGTTCGTGCAATTGCAGGTTGGAAAGGGATTGTCCAAGGACGAAAAAGCTCAACAACTTGCCCTACAGCACTGGCTTGAAGCTGTAAGTCCTCAAGAACCAGAATCCTTTCCATAAAAGGAAGTTTTATTGATATCATCAATTTTGTATTTTGGATTGCCTTTTATCCAATTTCTGAATCTCCATTTATTCTAAAGTGCAAAGCTTGTTTATATCACTCATTTTCATCTTTTTTCTGTAGATCGATCCACGCCATAGGTACGGGCACAATTTACATCTCTATTATGATATCTGGTTCAAAAGTGAAAGTGCACAGCCGTTCTTTTACTGGTGAGCACCCAGTTAACTATTTCAGATAATAACTTAATTGGTTTGAGAATTGAGGAACAATTATGGGAGTAGAAAGTGAAAATTTTTACCGTCTTTAACTATTAAGTGCATTCAAAACTTTCTTCTCCCTTTCTCTATAAATAGGAGTATCCATTTTATGATATGTAAATGAACAAAATGCTTCTTACTGACTTGCTCCTACAATATTTGTTCTGTCATCTGAAGGTTGGATGTTGGAGATGGAAAAGAACAAAATCTTCAGAAGTGCCCACGGGCCAATTTGCAACGGGAGTGCATCAAATATCTAGGACCAGTAAGTTTCAAGTCATTGAAGCCTATTATCAATCTCACAAACGGAAATTGCATGTGAATTTATATTTTTCAATTAACTAGCATTCTCACTAGCATATTTGATCATCCCTCTAACAGAAAGAGAGAGAATCGTTTGAAGTTGTGGTTGAAAATGGGAAGCTTGTGTACAAACAAAGTAGTACCGCTGTGGACACAATAGAAGGTTCAAAATGGATATTTGTTCTTAGCACGTCCAGAATTCTGTACGTAGGAAAGAAGAAGAAAGGTCTTTTTCAGCATTCAAGTTTTCTTGCTGGTGGGGCCATCACAGCAGCTGGAAGATTGGTTGCTCATGAAGGTGTTCTTGAGGTATATATATACATAATGCTAGAGAGCATACAATGATCTTCAGTTTGAAATACTTGTTAACTTGTATTCTACCCGTGGATTAAATGATTTGCACAATTTCACAGGCAATTTGGCCATATAGTGGTCACTATCATCCAACAGAGGAGAACTTCAGCGAATTCATAAGCTTCCTGGAGGATCACTGTGTAGATCTTGCTAATGTAAAGGTAATTGTTATCCATGTAAAGTTCTTTTGTATAAAAAGTATTCAGCCGATGACCCTTTCCAGTTTCATCGTTTACAGAGATGTGCAATTGATGATGACTGCCCTCCTTTTAATAAGGATGCCAATGAGGAATCAATTCCAAGACCATCATTAGGTTGTTCTGAAGCCAGTCAATCGAAGGACTCGAGCACTTCTGATGTATCTGGCCGAGCCCAGGAAATAGAAATTATATGCGCTTATCAAATGGATAAACCGGTGTATAACTTGGATAAGCACATGTCCTGCAAATGGACTACTGGAAATGGACCACGCATTGGATGTGTCCGGGAATACCCTGCAGAGTTGCAATTTCGAGCACTTGAACAAGTTAACCTTTCTCCTAGGGTGCCTTGTGGACCTGTCAGCAACTACGGTCCAATCCCATCACCAAGACCAAGTCCTAATGTTCGACTCTCTCCTAGGCTTGTAGGTATGGGTCTGCCGAGTCCAAGGACCCCCATTCCAGCAGCTACCTAAGGATTGACAGGAAGTGGACATAACCAGGGCTTACTCAGCAGCTTAGCCCTTGCTGAATCAATAGTGCCATCACTGGCAGCACCTCTGGTGCTCCAATCTGCCCTTTTGTGGAAGCTAATTCAAATCTGCGTTCTTTAATACCCTTAACTGTGCGTGGCTCATGCGAGTGCTAAATCATTTTTTAAAAGAGTTTTGGCTCGTATTAATTGGTCTCAAGCTAGATTTGATTCATCATTTAATTATTTGTCAACAAAAGGTTAGTATAACGGGGGAGTTCGTAAATTTTAATTTTTTATTTGTTACGTGGAATAAATCCTCCTATTTATTTATGAATAGAATCAATAGCAGTAAGAAGAGACGGAATGGTTTCGATATAGCATAGCATTATTCTTCGATATAATGGCTGAAAAATATATTTTGCTATTACCATCAAATCCTGTCTGGGCGTGCTCATGAGTTGCTGATAAGTGAATTTTCAACCGTTGATTTGTGCAATGACCACTTGTCCACCAAATGGACCGACTTCCGTGTCAGTCCTTTTTGCCTTTTCTGCTCTTCAATTTGATTTAGCATACATACACAGGACCACCCCGACCATAATAATTTCCCATCCACCTCACCCATGTGCCTTCCCCATACAAAGCTCTCTCTCCATTTTCATCCATAACAGGAAGCTTGCCGACACTTCTGATGTGAAATGGGTCGCCGAGGAAATAATAAAACGGTCTTCATCTGTGATTTTCAGTCGGTCCTGAGAAAGGATAAGACCCAACAGTATAATATTTCTTTCCGAACTCACCCCTCCCACCATTTTTCGACAACGGGAAAATATGTTTTCAAACTTTCTAGCACACATGTTGCACATATGAGGGCAAATATGACATTTGGGCACGTTGCTTTGCACTTGAGGACAAAAGCAACTTCATGTGGGGGCCCGGCTGATATCGATTTTGGATTTTCCAAAAGCACGCCCAGACGGGCGGTTAACATTTTTAATGACAAAAATGTATTTCAAGTGAATAATTCGTCCAGATATTTATGGATTCTTCCCTATAAATAAAAAATTATAGTTTTCATGCAAAGAATTTAAGCCCATTTTTGGTTTTGATAAAAATTAGATTTGTAGTAAATTTTGATAAAAAAATGATGAAATATGTGTTTAAAAGTTGATAAAAATTGTGGATGTTATGAAATATGACGTTGAAAATGAATTTGGAGAAAAATAAATTTTAAAAAATGGGCTAAACAGAGCTGAATTTCAAAAAGTAGGGACAAAGTAAAGCATGATGGTGATTGGTCAATAAAATGTAGAAGCAAATTTAGCCTATTTCGAGCCTGTTTGGTACACATTAAAATTTTCATTCTAATTCTTCTACTCATTTTCAATCACACATCTTTCAATAAAATAATAATTTTCATCGCATCAATAACTTTTC